TACATTTTTAAGACGTCGCTGTTGGAACCACTGCAACATTGCCCGATCTAAATCTTCAAATTTTGGATTTCTTAGTTTGTTATTAGAAATGCCTGCCGCTTCAGCCTGAATGATTTTTTCTTTGCACTTTTAAATCGTGGATACAGTCGATGGTGTAAATCCGTATCGACGTCCCACATCACTTTTCTTTTCGCGCAGTTTTATCTCCCGAATTAAAGTAACTTTTTCATCTAGACAAGAAGACATTGACATTGTCTCCATATATAATAGATATTAAAATTTGTCAATTTAAAACTTAAATTTCTGTTTTTTAATCTTTTGCGCATAAATAGTATGAGACCTATATAAAATAAGTGTTAATTTTGACGCAAAATTCGAAAACGGATTGAAAAATATGATGTGTGTGTGTATATGTGTTTATATTTCTCAATTTACTGGAAAAAATGTGCAAAAAAATGTGATGGACGTGTTCGAGCATTTTTCTTGAAACCCAGTAACTGATTTTTAAATAAATTTGTTCCATATTTTAGCCGTTCACTATATTATTATTTTCACTTATGTAACAGGAAATAAGGGATATAAGTTGAACATTGAAAAGCCATAATATCGACTTATTATTGAAATTGTCCATTAGTTTCGAAGAGACATTTATTGCGCAGGTTAGACTTCATAAATCTCAATTGCCACGCCACAAAAGAATAAGTTTCAAATTCCGGAGTCTCGTTTCAGATTTTACGGATTGTTGCACCCGGTAATATTTCTCTTTCTGTGTCGGCTAGTGCTATTATCGCAGCTGACACCAAAATTTATGGCCGTTTACCCCAAAGCGCAATTTTAAGGTAAATGCATTATCGAATGTACGGGTGTATTTTTTATCGTGCGCTGTCGAGTGGCTAATAAAAAAATGTAATGCCACCCACAGTACTATAATGCGATTAAAAATGACACAAAGCACACGCTGCGCCCTCAACTACTATCGCACATCGTACAGCTTAGCCGTTGGTACAGATGGAATCATCATCGAAAAAAAAAACGTTTTTATTTTTCGTTTGTAAGTTCTCCGTTCTCTGATCCAGGGTTTTTCAACAATAACTGCCGAACGGTTTAAACTACACGCTTCTAATTTTGCTCCTTTTTAACCGTCCACGGGGTGCATAAGATATGTAAAAATGGCTGCGTTTAACCTTCGGCGTCCATCTTTTTTTTTCGATTTTCGACTGTTTCTTGGACGTTGCTATAAAACATAATAAATGTCCGAAAATTAAAGCTATCGACTTCAAATTTGGCAGGCAAATAGCGTTTAGTCCCCTAACAGAATCCATTTAAATTGGAGGGGTATTTTAAGGAAGGAAGGAAGTATTTTAAAAAAATTAAAAACTGTCTTTGCAAAGGTCTAAGGAAAAGATCATTTCTCGAAAACTGTTTATGGAACCGAAAAAATTCTTGAACGAGAACACGTGGAAGATTAGGCTGCATAAACGTTTATTCTTGAATTCTTGAAATTTTCAAGAATGTACAGGGTGCGCCGCAAATTTTAAAAAAAACTGAAAAATGGGTCCCCATGTCATTGAAAATTGGCGATAAGTAAACGACTGTGTTTCAAATATTAGTTTCCTTTACAGGGCAATAAAGCTCACATATACAGCTAAAACTTTTGTATTTAAGCTTTTCACCTATTGTACAGGATCTTCGCGATATATATATATATATATATATATATATATATATATATATATATATATATATATATATATATATATATATATATATATATATATATATATATATATATATATATAACACAAATAATTAAATTCTAAGCAGCATATTTCATTCTTACAGCTTGCCGGGTCTTTCCTTAATTCGTATCAGTTAGTCACTTTCTTATATCTCTGAACAGACTTTAACAGTAAAATATCCTGCTTACTATTCAGTTATCTATGACAAATCAGCAAGGCAAGTATGGCACACGCAATTAAATACACAGCCAAACAGGTGAGGTATACAACTCAGCTGTAGCTTAGGATAGCTCAGTGAGCTATAGATTCTCTCTCCGCCTCTTGGGAACTCTGCCTTGGTTAGTGGACGTTCTGCTGCAATATAAAAGGGAGTATATGCAAAACGCACGTCGAAACGGTTAAGGATTGTCCACGGTTTCCTGGATCAGCAATTCGTTGGCTGACCCAATAACCAAGGAGACCAATCACGTAGCTTCTACAGCCCTCGTGGATTTGAAGCTGGTGATTGCTAATGCTCTTTTTACACTCTCATACCAGGCCCTTCTCCCCAAGGAGAGTGAGTGACTGTGCCGGTTATAGTTCTGTCGCTATAAACGAAACCCCCATAATTATGCAAATCACGAAAGGGTAAAGGTCAGCTTTTCGATTTCTGGTATCAATGTGATTTTTTCCTGGATTTAAGGAACCGGCTTGAAAACTACTTTACCTTACAAAAAATGTCTCTATGTCATATATTTGCTGTTGGTTGGTTGGTTAAGTGGTTTTTGCTGAGTACACATGATTGATGAGTCCCTATATTATTAAACAGTATTCCAGTAGTTTGTGTTCTTGGGTAAGGGTGATTTGAGACTAATTTACTAAGCAGTAGGTTCTAGTTTTATGATTATTAATAAATGATTATAATATCTCCTTGTTTACAACTCAAACGTCGTTAATTTGAATTAATACAAAAAAATTATTCTTCTGAATAAGGTTATAAATATGAACAACACAAGTAGTTTTTTATTTCATACACATTCATTTTTTAGACGTATTATATAATCAAAACAAATAAAAATGAACCATTAATTATTCAAAACAGGTAAATTTTCCCAGTAGATATTTGAAGAATCCGGATTTTGTTTTAGTTTGGGCAATTTATTTATAATTTTTTTGTGCAAAAAATTAAATTCTATAAGCTCATCGTCAAACGAACATCAATACTACAATACAAAAAGAATACAAGAAATAAGTAGGCAGGCGGCTTCGTGAAATTTAAGTCACATTTTACTAAGCAGTGATCCGGGACATTATCAATGAACACTTCTGGATTGGTCACAAAATGAAGAGAAGAAGTTATTATAACATCTTTGTATCAAGAAAACCAACTAAAACATTGATATTGATATTGAAGTATAATTTAAAAAAAAAACAGATTTTTAAAAATTTTATCACTTATTAAATTAGGTGAACTGGGTCGAATCAATGGCACAATAGCAGTCTATTTCAATTGTTAGGCAAAAATTCAAAGCCATTTATTTGCCTATTGATTTTTTTTAATTTCTGGAGCAACGTGTGTGATAGACGAAAACCGCAAATACAAAAATCGTAGCTCTTGATACGTCCTCCGACACTGTTTGAACCGATTAGTCACATTTTTTACTATTTTCAATTTACGGTTAATAATTTACTCCGTAAAAGAGCAGTTTTCAATGTCTTTTAGATTTTTGCCTATAATTTAAAAACCCTTTATATAAACGAAAAAATGATTGAAATAAATATTATAGCGCTTAATTCTCTGCGTCTGTTAGTTAAAGAATTTTGCCGGTGAATGGTGATGGAGAAAAACATGTTTTTCTCGAAGCCAAAATATCCCTCAAAAAATTTTAACTTTTTTTTATATACTTTGCGGTACTTGATTCTGAACTCCTACTTCTCTGCTAAAGCTGAAGTCGATGGCTACAAATTTAAGGCACCTATTACGTTTTTTAATATTGCACGGAATATCGCGAACATCCTGTGCAATAGGTGAAAGGCTTAAATACAAAAGTTTTAGCTGTATATGCGAGCTTTATTGCCATGTAAAAGAAACTGATATTTGAAACCCACGGTGGTTTAGTTATCGCCAATTTTCAATAACATGTGGACCCATTTTTCAGTTTTTTTTAATTTGCGGCGCACCCTGTACATTCTTGAAAAATTAAAGAATTAAGGAATAAACGTTTATGCAGCCGAATCTTCCACGTGTTCTCGTTCAAGAATTTTGTCGGTTCCATAAACACTTTTCGAGAAATGATCTTTCCCTTAGACCCTTGCAAACACAGTTTTTAAATATATCATCCTAAATCTATCTACCCTAAGGTGTAAGGTTTTTAGGCAAGGTACTAAACCATATTTATTTATTTATGTATGTATTTATGTTTAAATCTAAAATAAAATTACAAATTATTTTTATTACCTACTTAAATTACTTAAAATTGTTCACATAATATATCACTATACATGTAGTTTTGGATTGTTGCTTTTGCGTCACATGAGGAAGGGGTTTTAGTCAACTGTGTACAGTGATAACTTGCATTGTCCATTACAATTACGCTATTAGGAGGAATGTTTGGAACTAGTTTATTTTTACACCAACTTTCAAATAAATCAGCGGTGGTGCCCTCATAGTAATCCAGAGAAAAATCTTTAATATTTTTCGCAGACAGAGAAAGTCCATTTGGAATCCAACCATCTTTAGAGCCAGCATGCCAAATAGTTATTCTTTTACCTCTTTTTGATGGCGCGTTTGTTTTACACTTATCAGTTGAGTCAACCGAACCCTTTTCGGGGGTATTATAAGTGTCGAACCAGGTTTCATCCAAGTAAATAATTTTTTTTTCTACATTTGGGCGGGAGCATCTCCTGAGATGCGCACTAGAACCGCATATATTTTGCATAATTCGCACACGATTCAACACACGCTGTATTACACACGAAATAAGAATGATTACTAATAAACTTAAACTAAGTAGTATACCAAACCAAAAAATATTAAACACAGGTAGGTACAAAATTATTTTCTATTACGCACCACAATTTTATCTGAATTTGAATTCCTAAATTCTAGGTAATAATCTTGTTGCATTGTATGTTAATGATCACCCTTGGATAATCCCATTCAAAAGCAAAATACTATTATTTGTTATTCCTTGTTTATGAAAACGTCTGACAGAATTTACAATTATAAGAAAACTATTGTTTTAATGAAATGAAATTTAATGTCAGTGTATTTCCTTGCAGCGTGCACAGTCTCCGTCGGGGCCTGGACTTTGGTAGCCATATCCGTGGAACGTTATTACGCCATATGTCATCCGTTGAGATCACTCGCGTGGCAGACTCTTAGCCACGCGTACAAGACAATTCTGGCAATATGGGTCGGTAGTTTCATCTGCATGATGCCCATCGCCATACTGAGCCAACTAAAACCTACTCGACAAGGTAATTCTAGAAACTCTTGTACTCTTGCTCGTGCCTCCTCCATTTAATCGAGATTTTAGTTATTATAAATGAACTTGCTAATATTTGGTTTAAGTATGGAGTACATGTTTCTTTGAACATGTTGTTATATTTTAAGAAAACAAGTGCATATGAACGTGGCTTGACATCTTGAGATACAGTGCTTCCAAAATACCAAGAGTACCTTTTTTTTGCAAAATTGAATGGAGAATTGGTCAACCTAGGCAAAAATACATACAGTGCAGCACAAACACTAACCAAGTTGCCTTAATTTTGGAATTTTGGTAGATTTCTTATACACACGCTCTTTTTATCTCCGTCAAGGTTTAGTAGCAGTTTGTAGCTAATAAGAATGAACGATACAACTGCCGCACTGAGGTTTAAATTCATCAGTCTATTATAGTTTTTTGAAAATGAATGGCTGTTAGTTAAGAAGCGAAATTGCACGTAAATGTCGCACTTTATCTTCATTAATAAATAATTATTCGAAATTTGCGGCTGGTTTTTAATGGCCGCAAGGTGTTTAAATTTTTAACGCTGTAGAAAAATCAAGGCAGTATTCGGCGCTTTTCGCTCTTAAAATCAGAAGGTTGATAAAATATACATTCTTTCAGCCAACAGCGTTATCAAATAAACATTTTATAACTTTTGTCGGCGTACTAAGCGAGATCTTTTTAAATAATTTTTAATACAATAAAATTACCGGGTTTCAATAGGTCCCTAGCAAAAATGGTCTGGGCAAAGGCATGAAACCATGAAACTAGAAAGCTAGCGTTGCAAAAAAACTAGTATGTCGGGTACATGAAACTGATCACCTCAGAATTACTTTTTGTGCACAGCACTTTGTATTATAAATAATATAATAATACTTTTATTGTTACAACCACCAACATTACTTATGATTACTTATAATTAAATAACCAACTCAACAAACTAAAGACCCAAATAAATAAGAACTAAAAGTTCAGATTGTCACGAAATTATATATTTTTACATGACAATTGGTTCGACAACACAGTGTCTTTATCAAATGTAAAATTTACATATTACCTGCTAATATATATATATATATATATATATATATATATATATATATATATATATATATATATATATATATATATATATATATATATATATATATATATATATATATATATATATATATATATATATATATATATATATATATATATATATATATATATATATATATATATATATATATATATATATATATATATATATATATATATATATATATATATATATATATATATATATATATATATATATATATATATATATATATATATACCGAAAAATGACAATAAAACGTTAATTATCCTTGTTCTGAATTTTTAAGTTCAATAAAGGAGAGGTATTTAAATCTAATTAATCGTTAAGCAATACATTCGAATGTCTCATTTTGTTAATCTCCATGGCTTCTAATAAATTAAATTTACTACTTTTTGTGGCTGTATGTAAAATATCAAAATCGTCGTCAAAAATGTGTTTTTCTGTGTTTAAGTGTGTAGCATAATTAGAATCTAGACTATTGTTTTTAAACGCTCTTTCATGTTCGTTAAAGCGTTTCTTGAAGGATCTACCTGTTTGTCCAATATAAATTTTAAGACAAGATCGCCATTTCAATCTGTAGACACCTGATTTTTGAGATTTTGTACATTTCGTTTTTTTTTAATTTTCCTATTGTGTTGCTAGTTCTGAAAGCTATTTTTAAACCACATTCTGACAAATATTTTCAAACTTTTTCACTGGATTCTCCTATATATGTAATTGTTTTAAATTGTTCGTGTTCTGTATTAGGTTTCGGATGAATAGAGTTTGTGTGGATTTGTTTTTTATTTATAATTCTATCGATAATGGACGGATTGTAGCCGTTGTTCAATGCAATTTGTTTAATGATATTAAGTTCTTTGTTGTAATTTTCTGTCGAGAGTGGCGTATTAAGAAGTCTGTGTATAAAAGAGTAAAATGCAGCCAATTTGTGTGCATAAGGGTGATTTGAGCTGTTATGTATGACTGTGTCCGTGTGTGAAAATTTATGATAAATGGATAAATCTAGTCTAAAAGTCTAAAAAATTAATAGAGTTATCCTGTTGAATCTCGATAGTCAATAATTTTGGTCCAACGATACTATTAAGCAATATAATAAATTTTGAGTTAACCTGTTTCCGAGTTAGGGTGAAATCTACTAAATCTATCACATCCATAGGTGGAATACTGAGAAATGAGTTTTGTACATCTCATTGCTGAACTTTTAGTTCTTATTTACTTTGTTAAATGGATTTTCATCAAGTAAAAGCCATCTCAGTTCAACTAAAGATCAGTTCTACTGGAGCCTTCCATAGGAACTGAATAAAATAAAGGACCACTAAGACATAATAATTGTAGATGATTTCAATGCTAGGATGTGTTCACGGGAACAAGATGAAGTACTAGTTAAATACGGTGAAAACACTATTAATTTTGCAATCAGTTGAGCTTAGAAATATTAACCTCATATTTTACACATAAATACATTCACAGATACACATGGGAAAGACCTACTTTACAACAAAAATCAATTATAGACTACGTAAGCACAAAACAAAAGACAAAATCAAAGCCACAAGACTGTGGAGTAAAACAGGGAGCGAATTGTGGATCGAATCATTATTTAGTCATGGCCAAACTGGTCTATCCATTTCAAAAAACTGTTACATAAACTATTACAAATAAACAATTGAAGACCCTTTTATGGGTGGGATAAATTCAATTATTTTTAATGGAAAGAATGGACTAAAATAGAATAGAATAGAATAGAACTTTATTAAGCATCCAGATAAGTAAAAAAAACAACAAACGGTACGTCAAGAGTGTGGCAATTACAATGATTATCACAGTGGAAAAAATATATAAAATATACATTAATAAAGTACAAACAAATTGCACTAAATTATACAAAATAGTTCTAGATAATAGATAAGACGTAAATAATATTTAAAGTGGAAAGTACAAAGTCACAAATTACTCAATCCTCGTATGCTTGAGCAGCTGAAAACATTCATCAGTGACATAAAAGGTATTCTCTACAAAGAAAATTTTCATTTTCTGCTTAAATTGACTGGTTGGGAGAACATTGAATAATTTAACATTGATCTTAGTAGTTTGCGACGTCAGTCTGGAGTACGGTAGGGCGATCGAGTCAGCTTGCCTGGTGTTACACTCATGTCTACTAGTTACTGTGCATTAAGAATCAGCATTGTCATGGACGTATAAAATAAATCTGCAGATGTAGGTAGCGGGCAGCGTTATAATCTCCAAATATGCAAAGATGGGTCTGCAGTGTTCAGGCGGACCAGCGCCGCTAAGTCGCCGCATGGACTTCTTTTGCAAAGGAAAGGCTTTTACCGAGTATCTTACCCCACACCACAAGACACATGACAGAGTTCTATTAATAAAAAATTCCAGTAGAGTAATATTGTCTTGATGAAGAAAATCTACTTTGCTACAAGAGAACCTAAGTTCTTAATTTTTTTGTTACTTATGCACTAGGTTGTTTTCAGAGAACCACCGCTGCAGAACCCTCACAGTCGCATAAACGTTTTCAGTAAGCATTCTGTGATTCCTAGCCGTTGAGAAAACGGCAGTGTCATCCGCAAACAGGGTCACGTGTGCATTTTGTATGGAAAGCTGCAGATCATTTATGAAGAGCACCGGCCCCAGTACCGAGCCCTGAAGAATGGCGGAGACTACTGGGATTACACTATCACTTGACACGCCGCCACTCTCAGCGTACTGAAACCTAGATATGACTCTATTAATTGTACTAACGCCGTAGAATTCTAATTTATTCAATAGTACGGATTGGACAACACAGTCAAAGGCCTTTGTAAGGTCATACAACAGGGCCTTCGAAATCTCACCGCCATCATATCCCCGGACCACCCTGCTCACAAAGTCTATGAGCGCATGGTTGACTTCTTTTCACGAAACGCGAACTGAGAGTCTCTCAGAAGTTTATAGTTTTCAAAAAATCGTGAACTGCGGGAGAATATTGGAAAATTTTTGGAAATAAATGTCAATACATTTAGAATGACTGAAAGCAGGGAGTATATGAGAAGCGCTCATTTTTGGCTATCAACGCTGCCCTGAACGAGTTGAATTCGATTGCTTGTATCATCGCTAAAGGACGCGTCATCAATAGAAAGAAAATTAATTTTAACTTTAACTTTTATTGCAACAAAATATTGCCAAATAAGGGTCTTTCCTAAGCGACAATATCAGTCAAAGAAATAAAAACTATATTTTAACTACTAAATACTATTATTCGTCTTCTAGAAAAATATACAGGGTATCCCACAACAAGACTCTCATAGCTGGTATACCAGGAACGCTATTGTAACTAAGCTACAAGGCATTTGAAATTTTAAAGATCCTTTTAAAAAGAAACCGCTTTATTGAATTAGTTGCCCCAGTATTATGTTGGGCTGTGGATATTATTATTAAAAAGTCAAAGGTCAAACGTCATATAAATTAATTTTTGCGTTTTTATTTCGGTGTGTTAAATGATCTTCCAATATTACTGGATGATGTTCTTCTTCTCCTCACTTTCGAATTTCTTAATCAAAATTATACGAACAGGTGGTTTGGAAGAAGTTCACCAGTTCCTTGGCCAGCAAGATCACCCGACCTTAATCTCTTACATTGCTATTTATGGGAAACACTGAAAACTTTAGTTTATGCAGAAAGTATTGAAAAGAGAACAAATGGTGCAGATCCTGAAAATGTTAGCAGAGGTACCACTTCAATTCTAAGCAGAGCTAGACTATGTATACAGCATTCATTTGACATTTTTAATTTGAAATCACCTCAGCAACACAGTCCCAAGCTACAGCAATCACGTCGTACCAAGGACAAACAAGCATAGTTAACGTACTAAAATCTTTGCGTTTTAATGCACATTTCCGCTGAAGTCACAGGAATTTTTTTTACAAATTAGGTCAAGGAAATACACAATTAATGTTGAATTTTATGATCGATTAATTGTTATTGATATTTTAAATTTACTATTCTTTTGGATTCGTCCTGCGTCTTTAACGTTTCGCCACAAGCCGACAGTGTATTTTTATATTGCATCCCATTTCCTTAAAGTTCTCTAACATGTTTTCTGCAACTTACGCAACCTTTTCAGATTCGGGCATGGTATTCACAAAGTCTTGATCTTTCATTAATCGACTGATTTAAGGACAAAAGTTCCTGGTTTTAAAACTTGACTGCCTACGACAAAGACGACTGTATAAACCGTAGTATGTATAAATCTTTAAAAAAAGCCTTTGAAAAGTTGATGGCCAAAAAGCCGTTCACGATTATAGAAGATCTTCCATTACCAGCTGCTATTAAAATTCTAGAAATACTGCATGGAAGTAAATACGGCGATGATATTCGAAAAATTGCCTTGTCGAATGTATTAAAGAAAGTCTAAAATGTTTAATTCAGTTGGACGAAACTATTATTATATTGCTAAATTCGCTGAATTGTTAGTCAGAAAGCGTAAGAAAGAATTGTTAATTTGTCTTTCTACGAAAGTCTACTAAAGAAAGAGCAAGAGCTGCTGATTATGATAACTTTTTTGTTGAGATCATAAATTTTATTAATTTTATTATTCATTCATTCATTCATTCATTATTCATCATAAATTTTATTAATTTTATTATTCTTAAGCCCTTAACAGCAGCTAATTTTAAAATCTCTGTAAGGATACGGATACACAACGTTATTATTGCATGCAGAAGTAAGATAGTTGTCAAGAGGTCAAGGTGTAAAAAGTTTATTGCTATTAAAGTACGAAATCGAAATATTTTTTACCGAACGAAAGTGTGAAGTTGCTGCTTTTTTTTCAAAATGACATAGCTATCCGGGCTGTGTTATTTAGGATTAATTGGGATACATTTATTTCGAAAAGTAGTGTAGAAAAAAATTCGGTCGAAAGAGTTTCATTGTAAAACTTTTATTGCAAAAATTATTGTAGATATGTTAGAAACACAGTTTCGCAGATATTTTATATTAAATATTGATTTCGAAAAGCCGTTTTGGATTGGCTTGAGCTCAAGAGGGATTTGCTGAGCTTTCGAGTAACTCAAACTTAAAACCACAATTTCCAAAAAAGCCCTTGCCTGAATTCTGGATCGGAAATAGAACTGAATTTTCCACAATCGCTTATATGGCGTTAAATATTATTTTGCCGTTCAACACCACATATTATTAAGTCATTTATTTATGTCAAGTTGCTTTCTCAGCTTTAACAAATACTAAATCCCAATATCATTCATCGCTAAAAACCGTTGAAGAGGTCTTAGGTCGACCACCAAGATTTAATTTTTCTCCTTAATTTAAACGAATCAACGCGATAAGTCATAAACTATAATGCATACAATTTTACAACTTGCAGTTTTTAATATTAGGGTTTGTATGTTTCTAAATTAAAGGAAATGTGTCAAAGGATGGATATATTTTATCAAACATTCTTAACTGTAGTAAATTTAAGGGAACTTTTGAATTGGCTCTGACAGCGAAACTTCCGGGAATCCCGGGATATTCAATAATAATAATGATATTAATAACTATTAAACGTTTATTAACCACTTATTTATTACAATAATGAGTAAATAATGAACCAAAACAATGGAGCTATTGTAAAGCGGCTAAATGAAATTCAGCCTCCCATACACTCAGTTGCTGTTGAACTTATTAATTTTTCGGTTGAATTGGATAAAACTATGAGTGAGCACCTAAAACATTCTTCGAAGTTTAAGGGTATCTTCCAAAGAAATTCAGCAGGATCTGTTACAGTGCAGTCATGAACAAATAATTGAGGAAATTAATAATTCTCCATTTTTGACTAATAGTTAACTATCACACCACAAGACTACCAAACAGGTCTCCCTAAAGTTCTTATTAATAATAAAGCTCCTCGGTGTTGTGTATGAACCGTCATACACTTGAACATTGTCGTCACATAACCATAATGTAAGAGATACGGTTATTTAACATTAAATTTTATTTGTCTCTCTAAACCCCCAAATGGACTGCGGCAAATGGAAGTTTTAAAGCCACATTCCTCGATTTATTAGTCTTTCTGAGCTTCTTTCATGATGCTTAATTTGTTGGTTCCAGGAAAACATAAATGCAGAGAGGATTGGCCTACGGTGGAATTCGAGAAAGCGTACAATCTCTTTCTTGACGTAATTCTGATGATAATGCCATTCCTGGTATTGGTCGTTACGTATTCGCTAATTTCGAGGACGCTGTATAGAGGCATCAAAAGGGAGAAACACAATAAGAGAAATCCCCATTATGGTAAGAAAAGGAATATTGATTATGTCTTTATAATACTTGTGTGGTGTTATTTGAAAAGTTGAAATAAAACCTAGCATCGTTATTATTTATTTACAGTTTAACCAATTTACAAAACTTTTACATTTATTAAAGCCAAAGAGAGAAAAAGCAATATAACAACTAGAAACCAGAACAAAATGTAACAATAACAATAATTAGAATTAAGTGGCAGCACTCAAATGGAACACATCAGAACGAAATGAGCGGAGGCTGCTGACAAAAAGATCAAGCTTTAAACAGTTGCACGCTTTCAACATTCTAGTAATGGGTGAATAAACTCTATAATTTGCGCGATAACAAGGTATGCGGAACAATGAGTTATCACAGCTTCTGTAGTATGCGTTAAATTGTATGCTATGTAAAAGAGCTGGACAATAATGCCAACCATTCAGAATATTAAAAAGAACAACTAAATCACTCTGAGATCTTCTGGTTTGAAGAGTATCAATATTGAAGGCCGTAGCTATAATACTGTAGTTGACCTGATACCCATTATAGATAATATAGGCCTTTGAAGCTGAAGGCCTTAAAATACTTTCTGGCATAATATGGAGACCATACCACAGATGCATACTCCAGTCTAGACCGAAACAAAGAAATATAAAGGAGTTTAAGGCAATGAGGAGTAAGTTGGCCGCTATTGCGTACAACAAACCCAATAACTCGCATAGACCTGTTTACCACTTCCACAAAATGTGTCACAAAATTTAGTTTGGAATCGAAGCAAACACCCAAGTCTTTAATTCTAGTGACGGCCTCCATCTCGACTCCATCAATGCTATATTGGTTGTGAACCATACTCAACGAACTACTAAAGCTAATACTGCAGCATTTCTTTACATTGAACGCGAGGCTATTAATCTTAGACCACATGCAAACACTGAAGCTGCGCGATCCAAGCCTCCTGAATATTTTCAAATCATCCGCACACAAAAGACAATGCGATTCCGAAACTACACTCACAATATCATTTATAAACCTTGGGGGACTCCCGAAAAAATATCAATTTTACCTGAGACATAATTATTAACACGAACCAACTGAGTACCACCAGACAGAAAACACTGAATCCATTGCACCAGCCCAACCCCCAGGCTTTAGATTTTTATTTTGGCATATACATAAATACGTCACTTTTCTTCCATTTAAGTGACGCTGTATCTCTTACAGTTTCCAAAATATCCCCATGTACTAGTTAGTTATTCATTATACTTCGACACTCACCTACATGGTTTATCCATAAAGGTACGGTGTTGCCGTCATTTAAATATATTTATGTGAAAATCTGAACAACGTTTGTTCTTATTTAACTCACTAATATAATTTTATTATTTGGGATTTTTCTTCCTCCGTATAATCCATTTAAAAAATCTTAAGTTATTTAACTCACGCTGCAGATCTTTAGTTTTGATTAGTTGTCAAAAGTTGAACATTGTTGAAACAATTGCAAACATGGATAATATAGTTTCTATCAAGGCAGACTTGACCATTTTTAATTGTCCAGAAATCGAATGATAATTATTTTTAAACTAAAATATATCAAAAACGGCTAAATGAAATGTCAATAAAACATATATTTTTGAAATCAGAAAAAGAGATCTACGATTTAAAGTAATAATGTATAGGGTATTCCATTTAAAACAAATGATGTTGCTGTCATTTTGACAGCTTGCGGTCGTCGTTTATTTTTCTGATATTTGCATAAGATAATAGAGCAAAAAATCTTCAAACTTTTGTATTTATACTTTTTTTTCCACCTTTCAAAATGAACCCTGTAGGTGGATGTTAAAATATAATGAATAACCTTGTATATAATCTTATACTGGACACCCTGCATATATGATAATTAAAAATTAAAAAATCCAGATGAAAATATGCAATTTTTCTATTAGTCGTAGTTTCTGAATTTATGTGCTAGATATCCTGTACAGCTTGCAGCGCCACGTGCGCAAATGTGAAACCAAAAGCTATAGCCCCTCAAAACTGATCATAAAAGAAACCAGATACGAGTATATGTTGACGGATATTGTGCGGCCACAAAGGGATACTTATATTCTTTGGAAATATTGTGGAGATATTCCGAAAATAAGGAAAATTGTTATCAAATCTCCGTCAACGGGAAGAAAACTCCTTTTGTCTCGCTCATCCTGCTAAAGAATAGTTCGAGTAGAGTGCGTATCTTTTAATATAGAACTGTAACGTGTAGTGAGCCGTGATGACAGATTTTTTCATTAAGACCGAAGCTTATACCCGGTTAATTTTTCGTAAATTTTACCGTCACTTAGATATGAACGTTTGGAAATAATTTTAAAAGCAAGTTTTAAACTTTAAAAAAACTTAATTTTTGTATTATTAAAATTATTATGAAATAATTCAAATATTGTTAAGTTTTAATTTACATATTTTGCCAGCATAACGAAATGTGAATATTCCAATTGAAAAGTTACTATCTAGCAAAGTATGAGAATGGTCTGACCGTATAAATTAGGAAGTAGTCACCACACCCACGATATGCCGGACTTTGACGCTAAGTTCCGAGAAACCTGCTTAGTTTTGAATTCTCCGATTCCATTTCAAAGTGCATGAGTAGTATAACCGCTAAATTTGAACAAGACTCTTTTGCCTGCCAAGATACGAGGTACGATAATAAAGGCGTAATTGTTGTCGTGAAGTTAAAAAATCTACAAAACTTAACAGTACTTAAAACAACGAAAATATGGGTTTTAGTTTAACTAATTAGGAAAATTTTTAGGGAGTAGGTCACTATTTATGAGACACAAGCAATAATTCCTGATTTAAATCAAAAATAGGGGACATTTCCAATCCAAATATCAGATAACTCAAACGGGCAATCTCTAAACTGGAGGTACACCAGAATATTATGAAATTAAAGCATTTTATTCAGATCTTTATTGCTAAATATTGGGTTTTTATTGTTCCCCGTATTTTTCATCTTTGATTTATATAGTAGTATTATTTTAGTATTTTAATATTTATTATAAATTAGCATTCCTTTTGAAATCCGAAACAATATCTGGAACTTTTCAAATGCAAATAAGCAAAAAATATACAGAGATTTCCATCGTGTTTTAGCCGGAACTCTGATGATTCTATTTATCTACATAATATGATGAAACTAGCGAGGTACGATAATAAAGGCGTAATTGTTGTCTTGAATTTAAAAAACTCGGATTCTACAAAACTTAACTGTACTTAAAACAACGAAAATATGGGTTTTAGTTTAACTAATTAGGAAACTTTTTAAGGAGCAGGACACTATTTCTGAGACTCAAGTCACAATGTCTGACTTAGGTCCGAATTTCCGATAAACAAGCAATAATTTCTGATTTAAATCAAAAATAGGGGACATTTCCAATCCAATTATCAGATATACAGGGTAACTCAAACGGGCAACCTCTAAACTGGAGGTACACCAGAATATTATGAAATTAAAGCATTTTATTCGGATCTTTATTGCTAAATCTTGGGTTTCTATTGTTCCCCGTATTTTTCATCTTTTATTTATATAGTATTTGTATAGTATTTATGTAGTATTATTTTAGTATTTTAATAATTATTATAAATTAGCATTCCTTTAGAAATCCGAAACAATATCTGGTACTTTTGAAATGCAAATAAGCAAAAAATGTACAGAGATTTTTTAGCCAGAACTCTGTTGATTCTATTTATCTACATAATATGGTGAAACAAGCCTTCTGGAAGCAACAATGTACTATAAAAATGTCTAAATTAATTAATAAATTCAGAATTAAATTTAAATATTAAACTCTCTGATCAATGATGATATTTTGAGTTACCACTACATTTGACATTTCGATCCGTACTTTCCGTTACAAGAGACTTTTATCAGAAATGCTGAATTTTTTTTCAAAAATTCTGACTGATTTTTCAGAAGTTCTGACTTGTTTCTCAAAAACTTGCCCAAATTTCCGTAAGGTGGCGGTTGATCAAAGGTTTTCTTATACAGGATGTTCTCGAATTGAAAGTCAGTAATTATGGGAGCAATTTTTGAATCCATTCTAAAAAAAAAACTTCATATGAAGATATGTCCTAAACGGTTTGCCTTTTGAGATACAGGGTGGTAAAGTTTTCAAAAATAAAATATATTTGTTTTACTCCCGTCTGTAAAATACCTAAGTAACCCCCGATCTAGCGTGCGGGAAGCGTCACTTTACCACTTCAGTTTCGTTTCCTACGAATCCGAGCCACTTCGGACATTTCCGGGATTTTACCACACGGGTTTGACAGCAATCGGATGTTTTCGGAGATATTTCTCACGCTTTGAATTTTGATGTTTGTCAATTCTGACAGTCATGTCAGTGAATGTATTCGTGTTTTGCGAAAATGTACGCAAAAACTAACGGTCGTAGAAAAAGTATAGTATGCAACACGTTCGGTAAACTTTTTAACTCACTCGTTTATTAAACACTCGCTTCGCTGCGCTCCGCTCGTGTCAAGTAAACTCGTGAGTCATATGCCGTTTGCCGCACTTGTTGCATAATATACTATTTTTAACTTTAGATATTTTAATGGAATTTAACACACATATACTATGTATCAACAGGCATTATTTAGTATACCACATTTTTTTTAAAATATACCATACACTACGGAATTTCACATGTCTATTTTGGAAGACATTAATGGTACGCCACTGATTTCTCTTCTCTGTGTGGTCATAACAATATCGTTATTATCATTGTTATTTCTTACTTAAGTAAAGTAAAAAAAAGCAAAATACGAATACGAAGTACGTAAACTCTGAGGCGTATGTTTGAAATCTTCAATATTGTAGTAGGCTATGTCTGTAAGAATTCTGTTGTCAAGGCGATTGTTTGTCAATTGTTTCGCATCAGGTTTTAAATTCAGTTCTTCGCGTTTTATTAATTTAGCTTTTAAAATATCCGAACATTGTAATTTTTTTTTAAGTCGTCGAATTT